GTCTTGTTCGTGGGTGTGAGTTGAAGACATTGGTTTGTCACGTGCGACGTAAATTGGCCGCGGAGAACGCGCCGCAAATCAAAGAGCACATGATCGCTTCGTTGGATGCTGCGATGGCAACAACAATGGGCCGAGCGTAAAGTGGATCATGTCTTGGACCAATCATCCCTAGGCATTAAGCATTCACCCTTTCGTGACTTATTCGCTGCTGTGCACGGATACAAGTTCAAACTTGCCTCGTTCAGGTACTCTAACCCCATGTGATCTTTACGCCCACTCAAATTTCTCCCAGCTCTAGCTCTTATAATTAGCAACTCAACTCCCCCCGTCTACGATGACCCGTTTCGGTGACTTTGAACCTCTCTGCAGAAGTACCCCTTCATATCCATGGTGCAATCTCTTCTATCGCGAGGTCCGTTCCCTCTTTTATTTTTCACTTATCCACTCACCTACATGTTTGAAATAGCTCCAACGCAATGCACCGAACTCCTCATCGGTGCTTCTGCAACACAACGTCAGCCCCCGTTGGCATCAACCCAAAATGCGGGATTCCTCTTGTTGGTTTTGAAAACTCAGTCGGCAATGTGCCAATATTCTCGCTTGCGCTTTCAGCTCCTTCGCTGTCATCTGGCTCATCACACTCTCTCACCATCGCAAGGCAGCTGTCGGCACGTTGCCCATCTCACTTTTTTTTTAAAGCCATTTAACGCCATCCCAGGTCGTATCGAGATCCGTGCATTCCTCATCACCTATCTCCTCACCCTCCCCTCCAACTTCTCACCACCGGCTCTTTTCTCAAGCAGGGTTCCACCGCCCTTGTCGTCTTCACCGCCCTTCATGCAGGTGCCGTCGTGGCCCTATTTTGGACACTCCTCGGTAACGCTTTGGTCGCTACTCAACTCGTCGAGGATGGTTCACCATCCTCGTTAATTGTGCGTAACCATTATCTCTTTTCTATGATTCGCTAATCGCCACGTGTTCAGCCCTTCTACCTTCTCACGCTGGTCCTCATGGCCGTCACCACGTACATCTCCCTTGACGTTGCTTTGACCATCACAAACACATTCGAGCCGGGAAACCCGAAGGACTCTTTGCACTCCACAGCCCTCTTTATTCTCACCTCGATATGGCCCGGCGCGTGTGTCCCACTCTTCTTACCTTTCCGAGTGATCAAAAGCTTGACATCACCCCACTACAGTGCTGCACTGCTTTACTTCATTTTGATGACTTGGATCGTCAGTAGCGTCCTCCGCGAGCGGCGCCCTTTAGTCTATTATGTTCTTGCTGCTGTCCTTTTTATCTTCTCACAGCTCGCTTACTTCCTCCTTTCCCGCCCAATCTGCGATGGATCCAACCGCAAGATCGATGGCTCTTTCATCGCCACAGTGCTTGAAACCGCGGCTGTCGTTGTACTTTATCTTGCCTGGCGGAGTATTACCGAAGGTGCGTCTCTCTCCAGTAGTCTTTGCAGCTTTTCGTTCTCAGAATCGATCTATCGTGAGCAGATTTCTGGATTGAAGAACAACAATACTACTAGCCCACTTGAGTGCAGCAGACTGTCTCAGCCAGATGTTTACATTTTATCTCTTCACATACGTAACGATACCTTCTTGTTTGTACCCCCTCAGGGCCTCCCAAATGGCATTAAATCAATTATGTTTCATATCTAACCCAAGACCACCATCTACGTTCTGATACAAGCTGGCACGTTCCATCTCAAATCTTCGTCGTCTCCATTATATATCATCATTCCTGTGAAGGTCAGAAGAAGAAAGGTGTAGATGTACACGCGAAAGAATGAACGTAGTAAACAAAAATGAATGCTATCAGCGGAACCCAGCGCCGGACGAAAAAGTAGCAGACATGATTAAAAATAGCTCAATTCATTGCTTTACCAATCGCAATCGCGCAGCGGTCGTTGGGTTATGGTGTGGACCACCTCAACACAGATCCACGGCTCGCTGTCATCCCGCGAACCGAATCGACCGAGCTTGGCGAACATGCTCGCCGCCCTTGACGCTCGCCGGTGCGGCGACCCCGCGAATGTCGTGTGCGATGTCCGTGCGCGGAGAAGGCGCCATGGGTGCAATAGGGCATGCGCCGGCGACGACGGTTGTGTTTGTGCACGCGTCTGGCCATTCGCAGGATAGGCGTACGCAAGAACGTTCGCTGACCAGATGGACTCGCAATCACGGCCGGGCACGTCGATGTACTCAGACGTTGACGTTGTCGTCACAGAGAATGCGGAGCACTGCGGTCGTCAAAAAGGGGCATCCGTAATGTCAAAAAAAAAGACAAACAAGGTTCGGGGGGCAGTTCGCACCTCGTTCGGATCCTCCAGCTCAGGCGGCGTGAAATAGAACGAGTCGCCATCGTCACCGTCGTTGCACGGCGCATCGTCACAACCGGTACTGACGAACCCGCTATCTGCCACAGATGCCAATACACGCACCCGTCCCCATCCCTGCTCGCCCCCCAGGACTCGTGTGGATCGTCAGGTGACATATGCTCGAGCCACGACCATGCAAAGATACTGTCCCGGTCCGGCGGCGGCGGCGGGCGCACGGGGAGCGGTTTCTCGCGCCCGCACCCGGCTGGGGCATTTCTCGGTTCGGGTGTGACACACCGGAGGCCATCGAACGTAGATGATGCACGCGCAGGTACCCCAACATTGGTTGTAGTGCCCGTGGAGCGGAAGTATGCATCCAGGAGGCTCTGCATGTCCGCTAGCGTGCTTGGTGCAGGCGTGCACGGCATCGGGGCGTGGGTGGTCGGCGTCTCCGGGGTGTCAAACATGTCAGTTGTTGGCGTCTGCGGTGTCGATGGTGTCGGTGGTTCGGAGGGCAGGAGTGACGCGCCAGAAAACGTGAGCAGGCCCTCCGCGGGATCATACATTGCAACGAAAGTGAGCGCCGTCTGTGGCGGGACTATCTCGGACCAACGGTGCTGCCGCGGCACGGAGGTTCTTGAGGAGCTGCTGTCGCTTGGCTCCAAGCCATACGGCGACATGCCCGTGGTGATACTTAGTCCTGGAGGCGTCTGTGGTTGATGAGTCGGCGGACAGAATGGGACCAGCACGGCTTACCGAAACAACCTTGGCTCGGTTTCCGGGGTGAGTGTGCGCGCGACGTGGTAGCATGATTGTGCGAGAGTGGAAGTGCGGTGCAAGGGTTGACGACTGAGAGGTTTAGGTGGGGAAAGGGAGGCTGATAGAATGGGGCTCTGCAAGGCTATAAAGGGCTGAGAGTCAAGAAAGACGTTGAAAGAGCAGACAGAGAAGATATACCTTGCCTGCTGCCCTCATGGCAAGTAGGCCTCATTGACGCAAAGAAAACGGCTGTCCCATATGCACGCACAGTGAAAACCCTCGTCGTATATCACGGCTTCCTTATTGACGCCTCGTGGCCTGGGAACCCCCATTTCTCAAGAAAAGTGGTAGATGATGGGAAGAGCTGATGGCCTGTCGAGAGGGCGCAGACCGCGAGGCGTGCATTGCCGAATACGGCAAGTCGATTTTTGGCAAAGGATATTGGATGTGGGTATCCTGATGTCACGAGACATGCGAGAAAACAGAAACGTGTCGACCTTAGTGAGCGAGTGGACGCCTGAACACATAAAGTTTTAGGATTACACGTTGCGATGACGTTGCTGAGCGCGCTGAGAGCTGTGACTCGAATTTCGTGGGATTATCTGGAAAACCATGGAGACATGGCTAGGGCAAGTGCGCCGGATGTCAGGGTAAAGGATGGGGACGAAAAATGAGCGCGTGATGGAGAGCACTGGTCCCAGCTAATTCTCACACGAGTCAGTCACTCGTCGCTCCTTACCGACGTTACGTGCTACAGTTGGGTTTGACGGCCATCTAGTAGAGAGAAGGTAACGTCATATTAGAACAAAAGTAGCTGCCCAACGCAAACTTTTTGGCCAAGATCAGCGTTGAACGCTGAATCATGACACTGGCACAATTCAGAACTGACTGCAGAGACGAGTCCTCGATGATTCACAGAGCATATAGCACATGCTTCACAACGTACGCACCCTTTTTCACTCCGTATCACACCGGCTACTTCCGTCGGTGAGAATATTCCGGAAACGGGCGCGGAAAATATCACAGGTTGCGATGCGAGGTATGATAAACAGACATCCTCAAATAAAGGGCCCTGTGATCAGGGGAAGCGTTGAGCTTGGGGTGAGGCGGAAATTAAGTTCAGAAGCTGGAGCAGAGACGGCTCATTAAATGCAAATGCGTGACTCGAGAACTTTGAGAAAACCGAGTTAGATACATTGTGACATTCTCGCGAGTGGCGAGCGGAGATGAAGCGAGAGACGTCCGCCCACCTACAGACGTCAGTCCTTGTATATATGCACTACCTTGCGAGATGATGAACCACGTCTTAGCTTGCCCAGAACTTACCCACTCCTCCGGATGCCAATATAATCGCACGATCATATAAAGGTGCGTGTGATGTGTCCTGTGTGGTATTTGGAATTATTGGGCTCGTCAGTAAGGACCTGGAGGGGGTCTAGGGCCCAATGAGGAGCCCATAAGGCCTTGCATAAAGGAGGCAAGATCGTCTGTGGTGCGAGGCCCCGTCCTCAAGTACACCACGAGGTCAATGTGCGAGAGTGCTCTCGAGACATAATCCTCTTCTACCTGCGCCACGATGTGCCAAAGTCCACCGTCAATGCTACTCCGAGTCGCCTTTCTCGCCCTGTTCGTCACCACCTGATTATTCTGAATGTTAAGTGGCACAGAAATTGTGTCGAGAGGTGTTACTCTGTTCGAGTTGACACATAAGGGCTTACCGTGAAGAGGTACACAAAGCAGGGTCGGCGTATGGAAAGATCGATATCACCATCGTGGCTCAGACCAAACCTGAAAAGAAAACAAACAAGGATACTTCCCAAACGATCAGTACTCTCCTGGGATGTGGAATGAACGCACGCGAGGCGTGGCTGACAGCGACGAAAAGTGACGAAAAAAGAGCAAAGGAGAAAAGTGACCCCGACCCGGATTGAACGGATGGCCTTGAGGAAGCAATACAATGCTGGAATCTCACGCTCTACCACTGAGCTACGGGGTCTCGAACATGAGACTTTGTTTATTTATATATATATTTATAAACAATTAATTCTGGGCCGACATTGGTAGTCGGCACTGCCTTAGCGAAGCTAAGCCAAGTCCACCTTTACTTTATTTTGTTGAGTTCAAGCCTATTACTCCTTACTTTTCCACTCACGCTCACCGTAGCGCGACGCAATGACCGAAGCTTCAGGCCTATCTAGGCGGAGAGTCAACACCGGTCCAGTATCCACCTCTTCTTCAGAGCCATCGTCATCAACATTCACATCTCATGCCGGTTCTGCTTTCGCCGGGGGTAACAAGGTTGCCTTTGACCCACGCGATCTCGAACGTGATGAAGAAGAGTCAAGGGCAGGTGGGAAGATACCCCCTCTAACCCTCATGGAGGAGGTCCTGCTCCTTGGTCTAAAAGACCGTCAGGCAAGTTCGCATGCTAAAACACATAGTTTCCCGACTTGAACCAATGTAGGGTTACCTCTCTTTCTGGAACGATAACATTTCATACGCGTTGCGCGGCTGTATACTCATCGAACTCGCCCTTCGACGCCGCATTGCTGTTCACAAAGATCCAAATCGTCGTAGATTTCCTCTTACTGAGCGTCTAGTCGAGGTTGTCGATGACCGACAGACCGGTGAGACCATCCTCGATGAGACGCTCCGCATGATGAAGGCACAAGAGTCGGAGCGCATGTCCATTAATTCATGGGTCGATCTTCTCTCGGGTACGTCCTCTTGCCCTTACTACTGCGAAGTGCCTGACATCTGCCGCACGTTATCGCAGGCGAGACATGGAACGTCCTCAAAATTGGCTATCAATTGAAGCAAGTTCGCGAGCGTCTTGCAAAGGGACTTGTCGACAAGGGTGTCCTTCGCACAGAGAAACGCAACTTTCTTCTCTTTGATATGGCCACGCACCCAGTCGCTGACCTCCGCGTCAAGGATGCCGTCGTCTCGCGCGTCGTCGCTCTTCTCACCGCCAGTACGTCAGCTGTCCCATCCACTGCATTTGAGGCACCGGGCACGCAGATGCGTGCGCTGCGGGCTGTCTGCCTCGCATGTTCCGCCTATGCTGCCAGCGTTCTCGACAACGCGTTTGCAAAATTGGGGTATGAGGAACGCGAGATTGCCTTTGCGCGTTGCGACGATATCCTTGCTGAATTTGCTGCATGGCCATTTGGCAGCAGCTCCTCGAGCAGCACTGGATCCAAAAAACGGGAGGGTCCCCGGATCGCGATGGGCAGCTCTGGTAGCGATGGACGCGAAGCAGTGCTCGGATTGCTTGGAGAGGTGCGCAAAGAGATGGTCGGCGGAGATGAAGACACAGGATGTGAGCTCGTTGCCGGTGTGTTAGAGGTTTTGAGCAAGCTAGACTCGCTGTTGTGATACGGCCTTTCTACCTGTGTATGTTTCATCCCTTGACGCCTCTGTTCAAGGGCATGTCCCTCAAGTCGTCTCGTTGGTATCGTGCTTCAAACATAAGCAACAAGCTTCCCTGTGTCGAAATGCTACTATGCATGCAGAGGCAGCCAGCGTAACGAATCAGGAGGGTTGAGTTGATAATGGCTCCAACTCTGTGAATAATCACGCCAAGTACAAATCGCCCGTGATATTAGAAGCCATTATGTACATGAATGTCTTACTGCGAGAGCGCGGACCACTTAACGAGGCAGTGAAACCTGTTCCTTCAATCGAAGGTACCTGCCTCATTGAGCGTCAGCCAAGGTACTTACAACACGAGGGTAAAGCATGGCCCGGGTACCGGCTGCTCACACCACCAAATGGTTCTTCCATACCTCACGCAAACGCCAGTTTCGCATCTTCAATACGGCTTGGATTTGGTGCGTTCCATCCAAATGCTGCTAGTCTTTTTCTCGCTCGTACCATGGCTTCGCCATTTGGGAAAATTCCCAATCAAGGAATGTGGCCGTTTGGGTCAACCATGATGTTCCGTGGGCCGGTGTCGCCGTGCGTAAAGTGACGTATCAGAGCGTGGGAGCAGGTTGGGGAGGTTCGTACCATCGCGGTATGAGAGTCCAGGTGGTTTATATAACATGCATTGATGCGTTCGCGACAAGTCTTGTCGGTGCCCTATCTGTGCTACTGCCGAGCAGCGGATCGCGGCGGCGAGGAGAACCGTCGGCGGCGCAATATAAATTGTTACGGAGATGCTTAGGATGGCGGATAGTGCGGATCTGAGCAATGAGGTCCTAGATCTCCTGGTAAAATGTGTCCTTTGGACGTATCGTCGAACTCGCCCATGCGGATTTAAGCGTCGTTCCTCGGACGAAGCTCATATACAGCTCGCCAGAATCAGCAACGCCATGTGTATTCATAGGATGATCTGTAAGGCTCGGGAATTGGGGCATGTTCCTTGACGAGGCCTCCTCGGAAGGCCGGACCTTACCACAGTTGACTACAACATCAGGCTGGACCAGTTCCACAATGCATCTAGGCTGCCATGCGAGCTGGCATTCTTTGAAGTCAAAGTGTTAACTGTCAGCAAAAATTGGAGGACTTTCCCATACATGACGCTCTGAAACTTGAAGATCAACCAAATACAGGCACTCGTTGGTCAGCACGATACCTTGCTCTCAATCATCGAGCAAGATGGCAGATTCTGAACGATATGTCGTCGAAGATAAAACACGTCGCGACAGACAGTACATTACGTTTCAGATGTACACAGTGGAGCTGTAGGGTCGACTTTCACACTGGCAACAGATTGGAGAGTGGGAGCAATTGGAGCCCGTGGTTGAGCCCCTGAAACTGCACCTCGCAGTACACTCGGATGCAGAAAGAGAGCCCAAAACACTGGTCTCTATACGCTGCTCGTATCAGCACCAAGGGGATGACGAGGGGCCAAGCGTGGCAAGTGAAGTTGAAGGGCGATGCCGAGTGAATACACTATTCCCACGCCAGTGACGTCGACCTCTTCAATACTGCTTCCTTCTCCTGGCATCAAACGCCAATTCCAACCTGACCGACAACCAGTATCCCAGAATCAACGCCGTGGCCTGTAACCGCCGCCACGGGGCCGAGAACTGCCAAGGTTGGACGGTTAGGGTACTACGTCGACTCGGTGCGGAGGGTATCATGGATGAGGACAATGTTTTTGGCTTTCAGCAGTACATGATGGACCCTATCAACTAAAAAAGATGGAGTGATATAAATGAATTTTGGTAAATAGTATCCCTGTAAGATACGGTAAAAGCCGAAGGTTCAGGGGCAGTTTGTAATCGCTGTCAGTTTTGTCTCCGCACCCACGCCCACGCCCACGCCCACGCCCAAGCTCACGTCGCCACACGCCGTCCGCCACGCGCAGTACGTACTGTACTTTCTCCCATCACCCATGCGCTCTCTATTTCTCCACGTCTCAGCACTTAACGATGAGGAATATACCCTTTTCACTTCATCTTTCACCGACCTAATCGCATCCGATCTCCCCCTCTCAACTGACCATGATTATGAGAAGCAGACAGTTTCCGTTCGCGAAGCTCGCGCATGGCTCCGAGGCCGCTACTCTGACCTTCCCGTCACTGATCTTGACGCCGTACGTTTCCCCTTTTCGTCTAGAGTTACCATCATTTAGTGTAACGACTCAGATCCTACGCCTATTCTCTCCAAGTCCAGGGCAGGATCCTGTCCTCAGCAGAGGCCAGTTTTTTGCCCTCCTACGCCTTGTGTTGCACGTTCGCGGTGGCGCAGAGCTTGACAGAAACCTCGTGTTCAAACAAGGTTCGTTTTTCACTCTTGACTCTTGTCATGCTCGTGGAACATTACCTGTGACCGCACCCATTCTGTGCGTCCTTGGAGCGGTGACTAGCGCCCGCTGTCTATCTCGACGGCACTTTGCTTCACCTGGAGTGACTAGCCAGCTCCTTTTATGCACACATCATGCCTTACACGTCCGTACCTGCGTTACAATAGTTTGCAGCGTTTGGTAGCCCAACCGGCGGGTAGCCTCTTTGTCCTCAGGAAAATATATGTTCATGACGAAAAAAAATGCTTATTTTTCATTTCACAGTTCGCCTGAACACATCATATAACGAACCTGCATCCCCGACACGACCCGTTAATGACCACCCGTCCAATCCTTTTCCCGCTCCGCCCCGACGACGTCAATTCTCAGCTGGTGGTGTTTTCGATGTCCCAACGTCTGACACCAACCCGTTCACGCCCACAGCCCATGTCCATGAACATTCTCAACCTCCTATTCACCCCGATCTCCGTTCAGCCACCATCTCTTCTTCTCCTACCATAGTTCCCGAGAGACCGCAGTCCTCACCACCACCGATGACGGCTCTTCCTTACCCTCAACATCATTCATCCAACCCATTTGTCCCTCGCACTGCAGCCGCTGCCGCAAATTAAACTCTTCGCCTGAGCGCAAGTTGCCACCTCTCCCACCTCGCAAGGCCCCGCCTCTCCCTCCACCACGCTCAGCCCATCTCCTTGCATCCACAACAGGTGCTTCATCCAGGCCACCCCACAACTACTTGCCGCAAAAGTTCCCCATCTGACGACTGCTCTCATGCAGCAATCCCTTCAAGCTAGCAAAGCGGGTCAAGAAGCAAAGCGTATTGAAGCACAACGTGAGCAGGAGCGTGTCCTACAGGTTCTCAAAAGCTCTACGCAAAACGGCAGTCCATCCAAGCGCTCCGGTGTAGGCGCCGGGAACTTGCGTCCCTCCGTGGACGGTGCAGGGCCAACTATTCCTGTACTCCCACCTCGCCCACGTGTCAGCCCAACTGCGTCGGTCACGTCGACACGCTCATTCGAGCAAGTGGCCGGTGCAAGCCTTACCTCCCATCGGATGTTCCAACGTTCACGTTCCCCGTCTCAACCTCGTTCGTTGCCACTGTCCCGGTCACGTTCCCCCCCGTCGCCCTCGCGGCCAACGACGGATCTTCCGCCCCCTGTGCATCCAAATCGCCAGTCAACCCAATCAGAGCATAATACAGACTCTACTGCCCTCTCTTCACCCTCTTCAGCACGATTGGC